CAAAAGCCGGCTCCTCAGTATACTCAGACGTGAAGAAGTCGGATAACAGATTCGCCTTATCTGAGTTATCAGACAACGTATTTCCCTGGCGATCTTTTAGGCAGGGAATGCAGTCCCGGTTGCGTTTTGCTTTATTCACGTATCCAAAGAATTTTTTGAATTTTGTGGGATATTTTTTAATAGTTTTGACTCAAATTGTGCCCATTGCCTCCTCAACAGATTCCGACGTACATTCCTCTGTTTTTTGAAGTCAGCGAATGCTCTGGTTGCTGACAACTGGCGTACTTTTTCCAAAGACTCCTTTTCAATTTAAGGTTCTTCTTTATTTCTGACGTCACCCACTCTGGTGGGGATGTGCGCGGCTTCCTCTTCAGTGGGCAACAGCTCTCTACCAAGTGCTGCATTATGTTCTTGAAGAAGAGCCTACTCATTATCCAGAAAACAAGTACAACCCTCGCGCACCCTAAAGGGGACAGACAGTAAGAGCGCACCAATCATGTGATAATAATCTCATTGAAAGCAATCGCTGAAGAGCACCCCGACCATGCTTGGGATTCCCAAATACCATACACGGTAATGACAAACAGCACTACAATTCATTCGTTTGTCGGATATGCACCCGTTCCTTATGATCCCTGGCAGTCCTTTCCGGATGTCTGTAGGCTCGCAATTTCCGTTGTGTGCCACAGACGCCTATAGTCAAAGCTGCCCAGATATGTGGATTTTTTCTTGCAATTTCTATCTTCGTAAAATTAAATTAAGGTTCTATCGTATGTTTTGTACTTCCCCTTCTCGAGTATTGCTGCCCATCCTTCGGTTTGATGAATGAGGCTAGTCCTAAAAAAATTGAAAATCCCCAAAGACGTTTTTCTAAAAAAAACTTTTAGACAGGGAACTTCCCAATAACTCCTACTCAGATAGATGCAAACCAATTAACCTAAGACTTTTATGGGTTCGAAGACTAGAAGCAGGCTTCTGTCTCCTCTTTCGCATTAATAATGGTTCAAATCTTCCTCGGATTTCAGCACTTATCCCTTATAGTCGCCCATACAATCTTCGTAACTCTTCCTTGATTATACGTCCTCCAGCTTGCTCCACATCCAAGCGCTCTCCTTTTTCTCTTCCAGCTATACTTTCCTCTGGAATAAACTTCCAATAAATACAACATCTTCAGATAATCTACACACACTTAAGAGAAGGCTACGCCTTTATCTGAATACTGACTCGATTTAACATTTATTTTCCTCATCCTTCCCGGACAACTTTCTCTATGACACTGAGAAAGGGCCACCAGGAATTTAGGACGCCGCCATTAACTTTCCGTATCTACTCACATTTCCTTCCTTTGTGAGTCGGATCGCCTCCTAAGATCCTTCACCAGAAATGTAAATTTTTCGA